TTTTTTTTTTTTTTTTTTTTTAAATAATTTGTTACTTGTTACTTTGTTAGTCTTTTTAGATGATTTTTAGGAAGTCTATTATGAGCAGCCTGCAATGTAAGCCTGACCCCAAAATCTGCATTATGTAGAATGTTTTTAGAAGTGTAGTGGTAGAATATCAAGAAATATTTTGCACATTTTGTGTTGATGATTTGATATTATTTATTCCAAATTTTGATTTTTTTTTTAATATTTATTGTAACAAAGCCTTTGAGTATAAATAGTATTATGTGACTCAGATTTTGTTAGAGTACCTAAATTTAAATGAACTACTCATTTTATATTTCATTTAACAAATTTATATTTATTTGGATTAAAAATCTTTTTAATTTTAATCAGTGAAACTGATAGAATGTGGATGACATGACTTTTTAATAAATTTTATTATCAATAATAAAATTCCATACACAAGTCAAACAATTCCATACGCAATTCAAACAATTATAAAATTTTATTATCAATAATAAATTAATAAATTTTAATTTAAAATTTTATTATCAATAATAAAATTCCATACACAAGTCAAACAATTATAAAACTATCATGTCTTAACTTATGTAGTCGTTAATATTTTGTAATTTAATAGTATATGTAGTTGGTATTTGTAATTCAATATTTAACTTGTTATCTTCTTCTAATATATAACATATAGAACTAATCACTTACAAATTTTTTATTTGAGATCTATATTGTATATGTAAAATAAAATAATATATATATATATAGCCATATAAAAATATTAAATTATATATCATTGGGAATTGAAAAATTAAAATTATTTATCAATTAAATAGATTTATCTGGAGTTAGAGAAAATATTTAAAAATATATAAAAGCGAATTTTTTTTTTAAATAATATATTTAAAGAAAATTTAATAAATATTTTTATTTTATACATTTTTAGTTAACATGAGTTTGTTGTGCAAGCTACTGCAAGGTGAGTCCAAACAAATAGACAGTCTTAGAAGCCCATTATCGAACAATACAAAAGCCCAAACACGAAATAATTTTCCCTTGTGCTCCACAATCACCAACACACACACAACTGCAAAAATCAAAAACCCTAATTTCACTCATCTCGTAGTAAACTTCAGCAGCAATCAACCATGGTAGGCTTCGAAGTAGGCGCAGTCCCTTTCAATCCCGACGGTTGGGGCCCTCCGGAATCCGCCTCCGCCGCGCTATCCGTTTCCAACCACCCCTCCAACGTACCCTTTTCCCCCTTCTCCCGCTCCGAGAAACTTGGCCGGATCGCCGACTGGACCAGAAACCTCAATAACCAGGCCCGGCCGGGATCTAAACAGGTCGGCTACCACCCCTCCGACTCCGCCTTCGATTTCTCCGGCGACGACTCGTTCGCCACCCTCGCCGCCGACGAGGACGCCTCCTTCCGCCTCGTCGACACCTCCGCGAAATCCCACCACTACAACCCCAACCGCCCCAAGTTCAACCCCAGGTGGCGGTTCAACCCCCACCACGCCCGGTCCCAGCTCCCGCAGCGCCGCGACGAGGAGGTCGAGGCCCGCAAGCGCGAGGCCGAGAAGGAGCGCGCCCGCCGTGACAGGATGTACAACAACCGCTCCCAGATGCCCCAGCGCCGTGAGTCCTCCGTTTTCAAGTCGTCGGTCGACATTCAGCCGGAGTGGAACATGCTGGATCAGATCCCCTTCTCCACCTTCTCCAAGCTGTCCTTTTCTGTTCCCGAGCCTGAGGACATGCTGATTTGCGGCGGGCTCGAATTTTATGACAGGTCTTATGATCGGATTACTCCCAAGAACTGCCGACATTTGGAGCGTTTCAAGAACCGGAATTTCTTCAAGGTCACCACCACCGATGATCCGGTCATCAGGCGCTTGGCGAAGGAGGATAAAGCTACAGTCTTTGCCAGTGATTTTATCCTGTCCACGCTAATGTGCGCCCCAAGATCGGTTTACTCGTGGGATATTGTTGTCCTGCGTGTTGGGAATAAGCTTTTCTTTGATAAGAGGGATGGGTCACAGCTGGACTTTCTTTCTGTGCACGAGACATCTCAGGAGCCATTGCCTGATGTGAAGGATGATATTAACTCCATCCACTCGTTGAGTGTGGAAGCTGCTTGCATCAACCAGAACTTTTCTCAGCAGGCTCTTATTAGGGATGGGAATAAGGTGACTTTTGAAGAGCCCAACCCGTTCGCTAACGAGGGCGAAGAAGTTGCTTCGGTTGCTTATAGGTACAGAAGGTGGAAGTTGGATAATGATATGTATCTGGTGTCGAGGTGTGAAGTGCAGAGTGTGCTAGATATGAATAATCAGAGGTCCTTCTTGACTCTGAACGCTTTGAATGAGTTCGACCCGAAGTATTCGGGTGTCGACTGGAGACAAAAACTCGAGACACAGAGGGGTGCTGTTTTGGCCACTGAATTGAAAAACAATGCGAATAAGTTAGCTAAATGGACTGCTCAGGCTCTGTTGGCCGGTGCAGATATGATGAAGCTGGGGTATGTTTCGAGGGTTCACCCTAGGGATCATTATAATCATGTGATATTGGCAGTTGTGGGGTACAAGCCCAGGGATTTTGCTGCACAGATCAATCTGAATACTTCTAACATGTGGGGTATTGTAAAGAGTATTGTGGACTTGTGTATGAAGTTGAAGGAGGGAAAGTATGTGCTTGTTAAGGATCCATCTAAGCCACAGGTGAGGATTTATGATGTTCCACTGAATGCTTTTGAAAATGAGTATATGGATGAGCCATTGCCGGAGGAGGAGCAGGTTCAACCTCCTGCTGAGGATGCCGATGGCTTGGATGCAAATGCAGCCATATCTGATTCGGAGGATGAGGATGTTAAAATTGAAGCTGCTGTTGCTTAAAAGGTAATAATTTCTCTTTTTGGAGAAGGTCGAATGTTGGATTTTTGTGATGAGATTTTGATTATTGGTTTCGATATTTATTTAATTTTTGGTTGATGTTTTAGCGAGTTATGACTAGTCTATATCATGGTGTGTCAAACAGTTTGTTGATTTCAAATACTTATTCTGTGAAATGCTGAAGTTGGATTTGGAAATTGGGTTCTCGAGATTCTTCTTGTGATGTATGCGTGCATTTTAATCTGGTTTGTTGCGTGTGTTAAGATCGTGAAAGCAGTTAATATTTTTAGTTTAATTAGTAAGTGTGCATATACGACTGTCATTTAAAGTAGTATCTAATATTTCTCGGTGTGGCATAATTGAATGCCATCCCTTTTGTTTCGTTGATGAGTTCAATCGTATTCTCATGTACTGTTGTAAATATCCATGTGAGTTTATGTGTGAGCAAATGTCTAATAACAAGGAATATGAATTAGTGCCAACTCTGATAAGTATCATCTTTCATTGTTGTGGAATCGTGGCCTTTACAATTATTGTCCGTTAGTCTGTATATTCTTTTGTTTAATGCTTGCAACTGAAGCTGAAGTTAGTACATAGTTTATTCACCTGGAACTGCTTTTAGGAGTGAACAATGGTGCGGTTCGGTGATAAACCGTACTGAGCCGCAAAAAAACCGAACCTATCAAAACAAGATAAAAAAGAAAAAACCGAAAACCGGATTTTTTTAACATTGGAAAAAAAAAAATAAGCGAACCAAACCGCAGTGAAATGCACGTTTCGGCTTTGTTTCTTTGTTATATCACGATTTTTCTACACATTTTGTTCAATTTGGTGTTGTTCAGTGCAAAACCGCACCGGATAGAAGAAAACCGAAAATCCAACTTTTAAAAAACTATAACCGCACCGACCGCAACAAATTGTACAGTTGGGCTCGGATTTGCGCACCCCTAGTTGCTTTTCAAGGTATTTATAGCATAATTGTTCCTTATATCAATACTCTTTTTTGTCAATCCGTCAGCTTCAATTTATGCTAGTTTTAATCTTCATGAACAGTTTTTGGGTAGAGAGTGTTTGTTACTCGAGCCGAGCACTTCGTGTTCAAGCTGGCACTCTCTTTTAAGCTTGGCTTGACTCGGCTCGACTCGTTTAGTAAACGAGCTTGATTAGTTGTTCAATCTCGGCTCGTTTAAGTAAATGAATGAGCTGGGCTTGAGCTTTCCTGAGCTGTCTTCGCGAAGAGCTCAGTTCAAATAACAGCTCTGAACTGATACGAATTCTATTTGCTTCTCTAATCACTTTTTGTTATAAAATTCTCCAGTTATATAACTCAATATTCTTACTTTTCAAATAAAGAAAGAATTTTTACCGCAATCAACAAATCGAGATAGAATTGAATTTTCAATTTACCTTAAATCAATATTCATATTTTTCAATCTTGTTGAATAATTAACGTGAAGTACTAAATGTCAATCTAAATACACTAGGCAGAATTAAGATATACCTACTCACCCTTTCAAACATAGTATTTTACCCGGACCGGCGCAGCGGGTCGACTCGGAATACGGTCGATCCGGAGTCAGTCCGGATTATCATACTTTTTAAAAAGATAATATATGTTTTTTTTTTTCGAAAAAGGATAAATATATGTTCTCAATTTGTAAAATATAACATTTTCAAATATAAGACAGTGGATATTTCTTCTTGCTCCATATATCTTCACATTATGTGTGACAAAGTGGTCCAACAATTGTAATAATTTAGGAACACTCATATTGATATATAAAATCCAAAATAAAAATCAATATTGCGATAAAACGGAGCTCGAGTTTGAGCTTCTGATACCAGAGCTCGGACTCGATTACTATACAAGTCAATAAACGAGCACGAGTCTGACTCGTTTATTAATATTAACAAACTAAGATAAAAGATTACAAAATTATATAAGCATATAAATTTTGACACCAAAATATAAAGAAAATACCCAAATGTGGTCCCTTCAATTTAAAGTGGCAATTGGCTTAATTATTGAGCATAGGATTCACTAAGATTTGCTGATGGAAAAAATATAAAATAAAATATAAATAAATAAAAGAAAAATAAAAGAAAAAAGAATTAGATTCATAAGTACTTGTTCCTTTTTTTACATGCACATAGCTTCTTGTATCAGCAAACACATCTCATACTTTTATTACTTTATTATATGAAAAAGTAATAAGAATCTAATATAAACTTTTAATAGGCAATTGTTTTCTTAAGAACCAATCTATATATCGGTTTTTTTTTTATGTTTGGAATAATGAATAAAGATCTATACAAATAAATAAAATTTTGTCGAAAAAAAAAAAATAGTTCAAATAAATATCAAAATTATTTGATAATTAATATTTTCATTTCACTTAAATTACATTAATTCTAAGATAAA